CTAGAGTCCGTTCCGGGTTTAGTAGTGCAGATTGAATACTATTCGCCCGCAACACTTGACAAGGTTTGCGGAGTGCCTCCGTTCCCGCGGACGCCGTAGCATGGACCACAGTAATGAAGGTGTATACCTTTTATGAGGTTTCTTTGGGATTTTGAGTGCAGGTGGATTCCCAACAGTCGCTTGGATTGCTTGTTCGAGGTTGTCTCATCTAGCACTTTGGCACAAGAACCTAACGACAAGATAATGCTGGCAAGCCAACTTAATGGTGGTTCAGGGTCGCCATGTCACAGTGCCGTCATTGGGACTTTCGGCATTTCATAAGGCAGTCCGTGCACCAAACCTCAGCCCTCAGCGCCCTGGTAGAATTGTTGGTGTCGTTTTGTGCCTGCTTATTCGTCAGACCCAAGAGCTAACCCTCGCTGAAGGCCGTTACACTATCCACCACCTATGGGTGCGCCAGGCAGTCAGCAGCTGGGCTAACGGATAACCCGTCTTCCCGCCTCTACACGCGCCCACAAACATTGGTTGGCAGAAACCATCTACATCCAAGTAGCCAATGCATACCCTGGACACGACACACGTTCGCATGGGATAAAATGCACACTGTCTTTGTCTGCCCATCCAAGAAAGACCGAGACTTCCTCCAGGCAATGCACTTAGATGAATAATGCATCAACAGACATATCAAGTTGTCTACAATGTACAAAATTTCAAGGAGAAATGAAAGAGACAAAAACAAAACAGAAAAGATTGAAACACGGCGATCGTTTGGTAGCGGAAACGCCTCACCAGTCATCTGCCTGAGGCTGACTCAAACAGAGACCGTTCTGTAGACGACTGGGACGACTCTACTACCTCACACTTCAGATGCCGGCCTCACGGCCGAACGTAGGCTTATCCGAATGACAACTTCCTCCAGCCTAATCTGCACTCTTCTAAAGAAAAACTTATTCCTTCCACTCTGGCCTCCCACCTTCTCTTCCCACAAGAAACTGGGCCTGAAGATCGCAGCTGCAAAGGTTTTCTCTATTAACTCAACCGCCTGTGATAGGCTTGCCTCTCTCTGGACTAATTTTTAAAGCAGTTTTGCAGAGACTCGAGCACCTGGCCCTTCGCT